GGCATCATTAGCATTTAGGATCAAATCACCGTTAATTTTCAATGCAGATTCATTATGATTCAATTAAATACTGCCGATTAATCATTTTGTATGGCAGCCAAAAAGTTGATTTATTCAATTAGGTCTCTGTTGACTCTTTTAATTCATCTTTTCATCTTCTCATATCTTCCCAAGTAAACAAGATCTAACAGCCTCTTGTTGGGTTGATTTACAAGGCCACATAATCACTTTGATAGTTGTCCTTGAGCCCTCTCACAGAGTACCGCCATGCTTTGTGGCCAAATCAATAGTTTAGCCATTAACTTTGACCAAATATGTTACCGGGCTAAACTTAAAATACTTTTACTATCATTCATGCTCTATTTAATGCCATTAATGCTTGCAGCATTTGAGGCTTGAGGGGACGTTTTCAGAAAATGTTTCATCATTGCGCCGCATTAAAGTCCCACCTGTGTTCAGAAGGCTTCACCTGTTTTTGAATTCCGTTCTCTCTCGCACACGCACATCCACAAGCACGGAGTAGCACATGGCTTGTTTGTCCATGTTGAAGAGGAAACATGCTATTTCCGCTGTAAAGGGGATCTATTGCCACAGGGATCAGAGCTCAGAGTTTGAAGATCAAGAGGTCACACAGTTGCACCATCTGGCTCACAGAACCTAGAAAATATTTGACACAACCTTTCCACCTTCAACATTTTGTATGTTCAGTTCAGTTTTGCTCAAAGATGTTGTTTGTGTGCAATCCTTTTTTACTGTCTGGATTCATCAATGTCTGACAAAAGTTGAAATACCAGTATTTTACGATCATGATGTGCTTGATTTCATTTACTGTTTTTTAAAATCATTTTGTTACAACCCCTAAACGTTTCTGATGCAGAGGTTGTGGCAGACAACCAATTGTTCATTCCAGACTGGTCAGACATGGTTCCCTCTCCCCTGCTGTTGTATAATTAGTCACGGCGATGGGGTCAGAAGCACAGACATTCTCCTACTAATATGCGCGGGATCATAGAGCAAGTATTTCCCTCCTGGGGAGTACTTACAAACACACACCGATGTGGACACTCACCGTGTGAAAGGCTATTCGCAGAGACTGACGTGTGCTCATTTCAATGAAATGAAAACAGCAGCAGACATAGCAGCGCACAGAAGCACTCTCAACATAAATAGTCTGCTTGGCGTAACAAGTGACATATTAGATTTCCTGTCGTACGATTGGGGATTCTGTGGAACGCTTATCAGTCTGCACTTCACTTCGAAAGGGAAGACTGAACTAAATGTGTCTTTTATTTGAGGACGGGACCAATGGACTACAGCTGGTATCATCCCTGATTTCCATCTTCTTCGGGGGAAAGAACAGTGTCAGACCAGATGTGGAGACAATAAGAGAGCTTGTGTGACAATCTGTGAGTCAAATGAGAGAAAACAGTATCGCAGTAATCCAGACTCACAAGGCATTCAATTCCATCTGCATGAAGTGGCCGTGTAAATATAGAAGTTTAGTGGAAGCCACAGTTACATGTTGAGTGGTGGAAGGCAGAATGTGTAATTGTTTTTGACAATGCTAATGTCTGAAGATGGCATGGAGATATGAACCTGACCGCGGGCTGAAAAGCTTTAGAACTGTGGGAATAAAGGCTGTTTTTTTGTGGCATTTCTTACAGTAAGTTGCATCATTTTCATTATACGTCATAAGCCAGTGAGCCCCTCTTATATTCCATATCGGATCATCAGCCGCTCAATGTATTCATCCTTCTATTTTTAACCCACTAAACTGTTCTGTTTTCTCCATCTGCGTTAAGCTGGGTGGAGTTTTTCCCCTGCTTTCTAGCTCGGAGAGAGCTCATTAAATGACCGTTGTTGGACGAGGCAACTCTTTCCATTACAGTGTTTTTGACACCAGTGGGCTGAAGGACCGGCATCTTTGTGTAATTGTGCATGGAAAGTGCTCATTTCTACGCATGCCGCTGACGGTGTACGCCTTATGTTTCTCTTCCCGTCAAACTGTACATTTCAATGGAACCTTAACCCCCACCCACACCTCCCACATACACCGTCAAACTGGCTGTGGTGATAGACCTCCCACCTACGCACACACAGCAGGGGCGGCCAGCCTTTAGACCAGTGCGAGATTCTGAGCAGCCAGTAACTGCCGTAGCTCTCCCGGACCGGCCACACAGCTATTGAGGAGAAAGGGAGGAGGAGGAGAAGGTGGAGGAGGAGGAGGAGGAGGACAAACCGTAGCCAAAAGGAACTCCCCAAACTCCTGCTGTAATCTGCAAAGTCCCACCCCGGGGGCTGCTCCGCAGGGCTTTTGTCGTTTTAGGTTGGGATTGTACCAGCGTCCACTGCTTGCACAGGTAGGGCAGGTGTTTCTGCAATTCCCTCGAGAAGACGTTGGCTTAAAGTGTTGTAATTCAGAAGTCTGTTGCCGTGTGATGTTATCATCCCGGCACAAGCTACATTTGGCCAAAGGGTGGTTGATTATAAAGGAACTGACACGTAGAAAGTGATAGGAGCTCTTCTTTCACGACTTATGTCTATGTTTATCTGTGTGACTGAGGCATTGAAAGTGCGCGTGTCTGCAGTCATGCAGACGGTAATGCAACCAGAGCTATATAAATGTGCAATTTGGAGCCTCCTGTCGTAGCACTCAGCTAACATTTCAGGGTGGACAGCATTGGCTTTAGTGCGGAGTTCCCATTAGCAGCTACCAAAAAACTGAACTTTTGCGCTTGGACTTTCTTGAGCAACAGTCTGTAATAACTACGGTATTCATGACACTATAACCGAAGATGCACTGTACACGCATGAGATACTGACACAGGCCATTGCCAGTCTGGACATGACTGATGCTACCATTCAACGTACAAATCAGGTAATCTCCCTCGCGGATTAGCGGGATAAAACACTGTGTTTGTCTGTGAGCAAGAGCCGTTCGATTTGTTTCCACCGGCAGCCCGACAGTGCAGCCGCTACAGTGCGCCTTTCCCTTGGCAAGTTGCCCCGGGGCGACCAAGGAGACCTTGAAGTGCCCAGCTTGTGTGTACGCCCACCAGGCTCCATCACAGAGCCCAGTATTCACTAAAGCTGAGATGGAGATATCTATAAGTTACAGAGACACAGACAGCTTCTTTGTGCGGCTTCTTTCCCAGCTTTGTTGTCAGTACATGCCTCACCGTGAGTTATGAGGTTACTTGGGAACTTAATTAGACAGCAGAAGAATTATCTGACGAGGTGTTGTTATGTTATTGAATGTTTTACCGCACATAACGTTTATGGGTTTTTTCACCCTTGTCCTGGCAGACAAGTGAGTCAGATGTCCTTGTCCTTATGCAAATTGTTTTATGTATAAGCAATTTTCAAAAGACCGAAGTTATTAGTTAGTTAGGTTTAATTTTCCTTAATAAGTTTCACCAACATCCTCTGACTCCACCCTAAATAAACTCCTGTATCCACAATAGTCTACCTAATCAGTACTCCGGTACTACAGCGAAGTGTTTTTTACCGCTTTCCCAAATGTACAAGTGAGTTACTAGATTTTCTAGCCTCCTTAATGTTGAGCCCTTACATTTCGTGAAGGACAGGTAGTCAGGACCTAGATCTGCTTTTTTATTTTGTCTCAACCTTTTCAGTGTGACTCTCAGTATGTTGAGTATGTTTTTTTGTTTTGCTAAAGGAAAAGCTTTCAGGCCTCCCTTACACGGTGAGGCTTATTTTCCAGTGACGACTAAATTCTCCTGATCGAGGCACCCGACTTCCTCTTCACCAAACTGGGTCGTGGCCGTGTGTGAACGTTTATGCACGTGGCTACAAATGTAAAGTATGAGTGCGCATTTGTGTTCCGTGAACACAATCCACATTGCGACATTCCCCCCAGATAAATATAAATGTGATGTTCTTTGGTCCAACCATTTATGCATCGGATTATACTGTACAGTTAATTTGATAATGAGCAACTCAAATCAACAACTGATTTATTTTTTATTATGCTGTATCCTTCAGGTGGTGCAGATTAATCCAATTGTCTTGAGATAGTGCAAGGCAGGGTCCTGTGATTTCATCACTTTTTCCACACTGCATGCCACAGACCCCGCTCATTTCCTGAAGCTGGTAGAATAGGTGGACACGAGCCAGTGTTTAGTTTAACTGCAGCTGTTTCGGCCATGCCCACGTGATTTCCCGATACCCCGGTTTCCCTCTGTGATTGCGCTACTTTTGCTCCTTAGTCCTTAATGGATCCCGTTTCCTTAGAGGATAACACATGTATTTCTGTAATGAAAGAACTACTGTTACTTGGAAAATACTGACTATATTGTTTTTATCAGAGGCATTTTCAGTATAATTGAAAATGAAAGGGTTTTAGAATGCTCAATGGTTGTTGATTGAATGCAGCAGCTAGACTGGTCTTTAACCTTCCGAAATTCTCCCACACTGCTCCGCTCTCTTCACTGGCTACCGGTGGCTGCCCGCATCCAGTTCAAAACATTGGTGCTCACGTACCATGCTGTGAATGGATCGGGTCCAGCTTACATCCAGGACATGGTGAAACCCGACATCCCGACCCGCACTCTCCGCTCTGCATCTGCAAAACTGCTCGTCCCTCCCTCACTGAGAGCAAAACACTCGACTAGATCACGACTCTTTGCTGTCCTTGCTCCGAAATGGTGGAACGAGCTCTCTGAAGACACCAGGACCGCAGAGAACCTTCACATCTTCAGACTAAAGACACACCTCATCAGACTCTACCTCGACTAAAAGACTAACAAATTGTAGCACTTAAATTGTACTTATAACGCCATCTATAGCAAATTGTAAATTGGCTTATTTGAGGAAATTGCTTGTTTCTTGTTCTTCTGAGTTTGTACCCTATGGTTGAATGCACTTATTGTATTGTTTGGATAAAAGCGTCAGCTAAATGACATGTAATGTAATGTAATGATTGTCGCCTTTGGCCTAGTTTTATTCTAATGAGCCTCCATCATTCTCGTGTTTTTTAGAAGTCATCCACACCGAAGGACCCCTGGACGGCAGCCTCTACGCCAAAGTTCGTAAAAAGGAGTGTGTTGAAGGGTCAGCCACAGCGAACGGCCTCCCGCCCACCGCCGCTGAGCATGCCTTACCTGCGGTTGACCATGCCTTGTCAGTGAGCAGTGACTCAGGAAACTCTACTGCCTCCATCAAAACGGATCGAACTGATGAAGTGGCATTAGCTCCTCAGGCTTCCGCGGTGAGCCAGACGGACATTCCTGTTGGTGAGGAAGTGCCCTCAGTCCATCACCACGCTCCTCCTGCACAACAACCAATCAGTCCCCAGGAGAAACAGGAGCTGGAGCAGCTGCTGAGTGGTTTGGAGGGGCCCATGCACCGGCAGGGCTACCCGTCTACCGCGACCTCAGCTGTCGGAGGCATGCTCCACCTGGTTCCTGCCCAGGTCCATGTCAATGGGCACGGCAGCATTGACCGTGAGACAGACATATTAGACGATGAGCTGCCCATCAGTCAAGAGGGCAACAGTGTGGACAGTCTGGGGACATTGTCCTCCACAGATGGTCGGGCTACACCAGCTGATCTTTACTACCAGCCGGAGACACTTGTCAACGGTCAGGACCATGTGCCGTATCTGGAGCGCAGTGTCCCGGGAAAGCCTTTGGAGACCGTCCGGACGCACGTCGCCAAATCCAACAGACCTGTCGCTTTGATGCAAGACAGTTTAAACCACTCTCAGTCATTTGGTGCAGAGCCAAACTCTTTGCCACAAGCTCCCACCCGCACCACCAGTAGCAGGGAGGCCGTCCAGCGGGGTCTTGTGTGGCAGCAGTTCGGTGTACCAGAGGAGCCAGTAACTGAAGGCCTCACCTTTAGTCCCCCTCCGGCTGCAGCAGGGATGCCCAGCCACCACAGCCTCCCACAATTCCCTCATCGCCACAGCGCCTCCCAGCATGAAATTGAGCAATCTATTGAAACTCTTAATCTCCTTATGGTCAACCTGGAACCGGGCCGTCCGCTGGTGCCAAAGTCACAGAGTGCGCCGCTGCGGGAAAACAATTTTGTGGTGACCACGCAGCCGTCCTTCTCCCAAAGCCAACCCAGGCCCTCCTCCAAGGCCGATGCAACCTCTCACGTTCACTTTTCTGTCCCCAGCCTTGTCAGCTATTCGTCACAGGCTCACGTCTCACCTGGGAAGCCCAGTACACCTGAGCCTGTACCCGTCCAAGGGTCTCTGTGTTACACGTCTGAGAGGGCTGGAAGCAGTCCTTCCCAACACGCCTCCCCCACTGTAGTTGGTCCCTTCCAACTCAAGCCCATCAACAACTACCCACCAAGCACAATGTCCCAGTCCGGAGAGGTCTCTGAGGCCCAGAGAAGCCTTAACACTGCCTCGGCATCGCTGCAGCCAGGAGAAAGTGAGCAAGATGAAGTCTTCAACGTTGACGGTCTGGTGGCCCAAAGAGTGGCTGGTAAGATCCGACATTAACTTCTGTCATCTGAGTATGTTAGGACCTCGGTTATCCAACAGAAAATGCTTCAAATGTGTCTACATCTACCAGATTTAGATTAACTGACATACTAGATGCAACCTGCTCGAAAAACTAAAAAAAGATTTTTGATTTCATTCAGTTTGAGTTAGGAACACTAGCTGACAACCCAACCCTGCCTTTAATGTATAAGACATAGTAATACATTGTAGACAGGAAGAAAAGAAACACAGGAGACCATTTACCACGTCATAGTTCCGTCATGAAACTGTTTATTTCTCATTCACATAGAATCTTATCCTATTGGCCGCGTGGCTCTTTTGTGGGATCTTTGTTTTGGTGCAGGACAGAACATTTACTGAAGAGTAATGTTGATGGCACCACTCCTGCCCTGTGCACACATGTACCTGCTGTGTGCTTATCTCATTTCCTGAATGTCACCTCATCAGTCCCCGTCACTCACAGACAGGAAGTGTCCTCTCCAGTGCAGCAGGTTGACTGTCCATCGATAAGCTTGTTAGACATCCTGCAGCACAGAAAGCAAGTCAACATATAGCAGTGATAGCTGAGCAATCAATACATGGCTGTTATTGTCCATATTACGCAGTCCTAAATGGTATTTTAACACTATTAAGTTTTAGAAATCTAGTTTATTTTTATATGAGCTCAATTAGACCCTAGTTTGATTGCTCTCTAGTAGATGTATCATAGAAATCCTTATTTTTTCATAATTTGTTCAGACCCCAAAAAGACAAAAGGTGATGACAGGAATGAGTATAATATTTTTTATACACAATATCAGTCATTTACATTCCCTGTTTTTTTTTTAAGAGACGGGCCCTCATCTTGCTTATGTTCTATTTCCTTTCTACTTTGTCATTGTCATTCTCCTTTCTGTCATCATCCATCTGTTTACCCAGAATACTCGGCTCGTGTCCAAAGCGTCATCCCCAGCATGACCTCTTCTCAGTCTGAGCACCGCCGCTCTCACTCCTTCTCGGGTTGGTTCTTCCATCCTGTCTGAAGGAACACTTAAAAAGGAAGAGGTCCTTTTTGTCAAGTGTTCCTTCAAGTAGTCCAAGTTTAAGTCTGTATCTGATTTGCTTTGGTGTGCGTTGGGCTCTGATTTGTATTTAATCCTTTCTCATTTGTTGCTTAATAATTGATTGCCGCTCATTTTTCTTTTTATTTCACTTCCTCTTCTTCCCTTTGCTGCTTAAATATTTTTCCTCTGTCATTGTCGTGTTTGTAGAGCATCATTATCATCAAACTAACTCCTCTCTTACGTACATACTCACCCTTCATTCCTGTTTGTTCTGAGTTACAGATTTCTACCTCAAGGTTAGGCAATTACCTCAACTATGGTGTCGGAAAAAAAAACATCCAAATGGGTTAATGTTAAAGTTTCACAAGAGCTAGACAAGGGAGGCACAAAGGAGGCTCTGTCCCTCGCCAGGAGAGTACATGTCACAAGATCCATTTAGCCAAACTCTGGGAACAATACCGAGGCCTAGATACACTGGCTTCATTCACGCCGGCTTTTATTCACTCACACTATTTTGAAGATTTACAAAGCCAGACAAAAGCCCCAAATCTAGGAGAGACCCTTGAGTCCTTGTTGGAAACATGTGTCACCTGGGAGAAAGCAAACGCACTGCAGGCAGGATTGTTTGCATTTAGTGTCCTTTTTTTTGTAACAGAGTTCATCTTGTGGGAATAAACGTCATCATGACGTTTTTGTCCTACGAGCTCTATTACACACACAGAGACTATAAAGACACTTGAAAAACACAATTCTATAATTTATCTGGACTTATACTTTGACAGGAAAGGAACCCCTTCACTCTTACCTCAGAGGACCTCGCCCAGTTGTAGGTGTGCACAGTGTGTCCACAACCCAACAAGTTCATATTTTTTGAATCAACCCCATGCTCATCCACATGGTGGCTGGATTTTAAATAGCTGAGAAAAAGTCAGCCCTAGAGAATCTCCAGTCGCCCAGCTGGAAACCTTTAGCGGTCGCTAGGGCAACAACTCAGTGTTTGACAGTACTGTGCTGCTGAGCAGTGCATCGTGGGTACATCTGGTTCCCAGTTTCAGGGCTCGGTGCCGTGGTCGGTGTGTTTCTGTTTTGGGGTGTTGACTGCCTACATGCTGTTATGTCAGTTTCAAGATTTTTTAAGGCAACACCTTGCCAACACCAAGCATTCTGACAGGCGCTTATTGATCTTTGACATCTGTCTTTTATGACAAAAAGAACACGTGTTTAAAATAAGTGCATTTAAACAGAAGGTAAATGGAGGCAAGAAAAAATTAAGTAATTTTAAAGCTCCAGGTTCAGTACTCAGAGGCAATAGCAGCTACCTTCATTCACAACTATCTAACAGTTCTCCACAGTTGATCTATACATTTTCCACACACATATTTGGCTATATTCATATTTCCACGTTATCATAACAGGCCTGAAGGGTGCCTCTTTTGTTTCTACATGTATGGAAAAGTCTGTCAGCATCAAACCTATTTTAAGGTCTTTGTCAGCTTGTGTTTGTTTCCGGTTTCCCTGTGCGATCGTTCCATCTTGGCAAAGGCATGTTCTTATGTAGGTGTGAAAGCAAAGCTCGACGAAAGAAATAACTTTTGGTCCACGCAACATACTATTCATCCAACTGTTTCTAGAAATATCTAGTAAGTAACCCTTACAAAAAAACACAGGGTAAGCTGCCTCAGCACAAACAACACAATAATTCACCCAGTTTTCCACTTGTTTCTTAAACCTATTGTTCTCTCCTTTCTTCCTCCCATCAACCATTTTGTTCCAAAGGACACATGGCAGCCAGTGCTGTTCTTTTAAATTGGCTGTGGAGCTTTGGCAAGCATTTCATGCTTTTCTATCTTCAGCAGCCAGTCAATGACATTGCATCTTAGCATAAAACTCTTAACCTAAATCCTGTTTGTTTTATGCTGGTAGCTTTTCCCTCTCAGTTGAAACCAGATTACTCAAATGAGCTTAATGGCTGCTTTGAGGTTCAGCCAGATCCGGCCGTATTGACACGTTAGATAACAAACGCAGCTTGCACAAGTGTATCACAAATTCTTGATAATATGTCTGCGAAAACATTTCCATTCTTCGAATCGAGCTGATCCTAAAATGGGTGACCATCTCTTGTATGCAACAGATTTTCAAGGTCAAGGTTGTGTTGGCGATATCATTGAGTGGGTTTTTTAAGGAATGACATAAATCCACTGGGCTTCAGTTTGATCAGCAGCTAAGGCTGCATTAACCTCGTGTGTGCATGTTTTATTAAACATTTTTGAGAACCACAACCAAAATGCACACAATGGCCCGTGCGGTGAGCATGCACAATGGCTGACCAAACCATTAACCTCCAATGGCTGTGATGGCATTGCCGGATGACAGAAGTGCGATCGAGCAGCAGTGACCGACCCTGAATTCAAACACTCAACTTTTCGTGTGTCGTGCCAGGCGTGCAGGCCCGTGCGGTGTCCCCGGAAGACCCGCCAACGTTTCCCCGCCATCGGATCTGCAGCGACGGCCAGTACCAGAGCGGACCTGATGACGAGCCCTCTGCGGATGTCCCGCTGCGGTCGCCCGTCCGCTGTGTTTCTCCAGAGTTTGTCAACGCCATTGCAATGAACCCTGGCGGACGACCTAAGGAGGTAGAGAGCGTGACATTTTGAACATACGTTGTGGGACTACGTACCCCTGTTCTTTTTTCCCCGCTTTTTTCTCTGCGTGTTGATGTGTGTTTTTGTTCCACTCCTCAGAGAAACATGCACAGCTACCGCGAGGCCTTCGAGGAGATGGATGGTGGGACCATCAGTCCTACACCCATAGTTGGTGGTGAGGTGTTTCCCCAAACCCCTGCCTTCCCCGTCTCACCGCAAACCCCTTACTTCAACCTGTGTAAGTCCCCCTCTGGCTGACAGAGGGCCCTGTGGAGCTCGGGCTTACTTAGAATTGAGACAAAACGTCACTCAATTCTAACTGAAGGTTCTATGTGAAAACGGGATCACTCTTATTCTGAGATTAGTTTTTACAGTTATATATATGAACCGTCACTTTTAAATAGCTTAGTGTCTTAATGAGGTTACTTAGCATTTGGCAAACTATGGATGTCCTAAGTGTTAAAACCCAAATGTGTGTTTCCATTGTACAAGTATAACTTGATATACTGAAAACTGGTGCAGGAAAGTCGCTCAAGGTACTTGACTCACATTCATTTCTCTTTTTATGTGCGTCAATGGTACCACGTATAAAAAAATCTTCATTCGGGTTGTAAATGGACAGCATTCCCATTGTACGATTGCGGCGGTGCAGTGCTGTGGCCCTGTTGCTCATCACAATGCCTGAGTGGCCGCATCATGACTGAAATCATCTTTTCTTCCAAGAATGACTACTTTCATCATTCAGTAGATGCAGAATGAGAGAAGCCAAGTTAATTTGCTGTAACTTTTTCCAATTGGAGTATTTTTTCCAGTACAGCTTTTTCACAAAGAGTAAATTGTTCTTTACAAGAACAACATGTTTACTCAACGTCTCAAAAATAGAAAAGACTCCTGCACTCCCCCAACCGCCCCTTTTGCAGTATCACATGCACTCCACACTAAAACTAGAGTCGGGTATTAGGCAACAAGTCTCGACATCATCTGGTCCTCTAAACTATCTCTCCAACTATCTCTAAAAGTTAGATAAAAGTCACTTTTACGAGGCACTTACTTGTAACCTTCAGTGCGATAAATGAATCATTTTTATTCTTGATTTAATTGACTAAGACACATTGAGAACAAATTGTTCTCAAAATTAGATCCTCTATTCTGAGATTAGTTTGCAGTTATTTGCAAAAGGTGTTTGACGGTGCGGGTTAGTGACTTGATTAGTGCACGTGACACGTATTTTGTTCGACAGTTATCTTTTAGTAGTCCTCAAATCACTTTCCCAAGTTTTCAGTCGGCCTGCCCCGCACACGTGCCAGTCACGATTAAAAGTCGGTGGTAAGAACAAATAATTCATTTGGATTCTTTGGTAAGTGGAGGATGCTCGTCTCTCTACCGGCGCACCACTGTCCCACAATGTCAGCCAAACGGAACCCCCATGTCCCTCCCCTCCCCTCAAGTGAGCTCTACCCATCACGTATCACAGCTCTGCACAGCTTGGCATGAGAGCCACATGGGAGCAGCACAAGCGACACTGTGTGCACAATGTAGGACCCACGTCAGACGTAACTACCTGCAAGTCTTTTGCTGATAAACCCCTACTTATGATAACAAAACAGGGAATCACACTCATGCATTGGCAAAGTAAAATAACAGCTTGAATCAGCATAAGACACAGACAAGACGTGAGGCACAAAGACATGCTTCCAGTCTCTCTCGCTGCTGCTGCCCTTTGTGTTGCTGTTGTCATCTGTGTTTGGGCTTCTGTTGCTGCCTTGTTTCACCTCAAACAGCACCCTGCCTGCCCTCCCCCAGCAGCCTTTATTACCCAGCCATTAATGTCTTGTCTTTTAATTGAATTGAATTGTGCTAGCAATATGTGTTTGTTATCACAAAAGGTTGCCTATTGTTAAAGGAAGACCATGCAATGCAGACCTGACTCTTGAATGAAACACATTTACAGTTTGGGGGATTGTAGCAGTGTAGATCTAAATAGAGCAGAGGCCCTGGTGACAACACACTCTACTCTTCATCTTCTAATGTAGCACAGACTGTATCAAAGGGCCTGATTCTTCATGGACAGTAATGACGATGTGGCCACATTTGATTCAAAGAACCTTCTGCCCAACCCTAACCGACCCAACCACAAATGACAATAAGTAAGAAGATGCTACAAATATCTGGACGGTCCAATAACGTCATTCTGCATAACGATTAGCCCTGTGCATTTATTTGTTGCAGGGAAAACGTATACTTTCAGAGTAATAGGCCTGCCAAACAAAGGCCATTTGTCGACAGGATAAACGGGGGGTCGACCACAGGAATTCTCGGACTATTGGAGTTTCAGAAAATGGGCCCATGCAATAATGGACAGTAGCAATTTGGACTGGCCTTCCTCCTGTACCATTCCTGGTACAGGAGGAAGGCCTTTTTATTCAGTTTCGCACATCTCTGCTTTGTGTTCGGCCCAAGCTCCATTCTGTTAGCGGTAGAGTGAGGTAGTGTCACGTTGTTTTAGTCAAATGCATGTTTTTCCCCCTCCATCATAGCATGAGCACACTCCTCCTACATGTCCCCGTGTGTTAAGCTGTGTCCATGCTGTATTGTTTTGACAGCTGTTGACCTGTGTTGGTATAGGATTTCCAAACTAGTCCACTTTAAGAGGGCAAGATTGTTGTTTGAAAAGAAAAATTACAGTAGAAAATAAGGACAATTTAGAAAAGGTTTTCTAATTCAGTGAAAAAACGGTAAATCTATGTTATACTGTGTCAACAGGAAGCAGCTGTCAAAATGTTAGTAGCTATGAGGCTGTGTGTTGATAAGTGTGTCATTCTCTTCAGGTCGGTCCCCTCCTGGTCTTGCCAAGACTCCACTGTCAGCGCTGGGTTTGAAGCCCCACAACCCAGCAGAAATACTCCTCAATCAAACAGGCTCAGGTTGGTTGTTGCGTTCGCTATTAGAATCACAAACTAATCAAATCCAAGTAGTTATTTTTTTATTATTTTTTTTAAATAAAACAAAAACTTTTGTTTTATTATTATTTATTTTTTTATTGAATGTTTTTTCAAGTATGATTAGCTGACAAACACAAACAATGTTATGATTTATATGAACATTTTGGGGGACTTTCTCTTAAATCCTTTACTTAAAATGAACTTAAATCCCAATCTTTTCTCCAAAACTGACCAAGTCGTTTCGTTACCTTTTTCTATGCAATAGTAATAGTTTGACAGCAAGTAGTCTGATTAAGCATCCGTATCTGACGAGTTGGAAATGAACGCAGGTTTCATATCCACACACCCAACAAATGAGGATGGCACAGAAAAAAACAGATTCTCCCCACCTCCTTTGCTCTGCCTCTGCCCCTTTACATTCTCCTGTTTCTCTGGATTGTCTCCAATAATGCTCCACAGAAGATGAGAGCAGTGAGAGTGTGGAAGGTAAGAGTGCTGCTCCAATGCCAGCGATCATCAATGCTTTTGTCTCCTTCACCACAATTTTCCCTTCGTATTCCTTAATTGTAGTCAATCTCCATCTTGTGTGGCAAAGCCATTACTTTTTCCATTTCTATCAGGAAAAGAGTCCACTACTCCATCCACTGTCATTATACAGCCTAATATTTCAATAGTGTGCCATTCTGTGTTCATAGTCCTCTTGAGACATTGGCTTAACATCACTGTCACTTAAATGCCACCAAGCTAAAGGGAATTACAGACCAGGATAAGTGAAGTAAATGTGTGGCTCACAGAACACTCAACTTTTTCTCTCTCTCTCTCTCTCTCTCTCTCTCTCTCTCTCTCTCTCTCTCTCTCTCTCTCTCTCTCTCTCTCAGCAGCAAGAAGCTACGTTGAGTCTGTGGCGAGGGCGGCAGGGGGAGAGCGTTCAACGTCACCTCGTAGCCTCAGACCCTCGGGAGAGACTACGGCCCAGCAGAGAAGTCAAAGTCCCCCATCCCACCCGCTAAACCAACCTTTGTCCAGCAGCAGCCCCATCCAGAGCTCACTGTGAGGCCAATACATAATGCGCTTTTACCCAATTTGGAGCTCTAGGGGGCTTCTGCTTTGCAATGCTAAAACTAGTCAATCAAGTCTAAAACGTGTCTAAAACATCAGCTGGCTAACAGACGTTTTCAATCTTCTTCCAGGGATCCCAGCAATGTCCGCTCTCTGTCCCAACCCACTACTGATTCGGGCTTCCGCTCCCATGCCACAGAGAGTGGCTACCCCACACCCTCATATCAAGCCCCGAATACCCCTACTTCTTCCTACCTAGATTCCATCTCCCCGACCTCTTCCTACCTTGGCGCCGCTACCCACACGCTACCCTACCTTGGCCCCAACACCCTGCTGGGAGGTTACATGGCCACAGACCCTCGGCCGCCCACCGCGGAAGCGTCCCAGACGATGCTGAGCCGTCCCCGAAGTCCGCATACGCAGCATCGGACCAACATCCCCGGCTCCACTTACAACCCCCTCCTCCAGCCGCGCTCGTGCGCTGTTCAGGAGGGTTCCACCATGGCCCAGCAAACATCACCAGCTAACGGCTTTGATCTGGGTATGCTGGGTGTCAGCGGAAGTCCCGTTCTCGTCCGTCGTCCGTCTCAGGGGGCTCAGAGCAGCCCAGTCCTCAGCAGACAGGCCTCTTTGGGACAAGGGTCTCAGCGGAGCCCGGTCCTCAGCAGACAGCCGTCCACGGGTCGGCCCGCTCAGAGCAGCCCCGTGCTCAGCCGGCAGCCATCCATCACACACCCCCAAGGGAGTCCAGTTTTGGGAAGGCACCCATCTGTATCGCAGGTGTCCCAGAGAAGCCCCAGCCTGGACCGTCACCCCATGCACAGCGGTTACACCACCCCGGATGAGAGACACGGGAACCTGTCACGACAGAGCAGCTCATCCGGCTACCAGGGACCACCGACTCCCTCCTTCCCCATCTCACCTGCGAGCTACCAAGATGGGGGGATGATGGGGATTGGTGTAGGGTTCCGGCAGGGCAGCCCCGCCCCCGGTTTCCAGCCACAGCTTCCAGAGAAGAGACGCATGTCGAGCGGCGATAGACCGAACGGAGCGCTGTCGCACGGCACGCTGAACGGGAAGATAATGTCCCCGATGAGTGGAGGAAGCAATCCCAGCTACTTCCACACCCTCTCGGACTTCTCGAGGTTCAACATGTCCGGTAAGGAAACATTATCAACATTACAAACATTAAGTAACGTGAAGACATATTTCGGGGTTCTGTTCTGTTTGCTTTTTTTCTCTGACTTCCTATCTATGACATTTGTTTGTTTTTTGCAGATGGAAGTCCTGAGAGCAGGCTGAATGTCAAGTTTGTCCAGGACACATCCAAGTTCTGGTACAAGCCAGACATTTCCAGAGAGCAAGGTAAGATGCTGTGAGACTTTTTCCTTTCCTGTTGGCACTGGATTGGTGGTTAAGTGTGTTTTCCAGCTCGCAAACTTGCTAGCAAGATTTGTTCCGTTAGTTAGTTTGCCACGGTATTAGAAAATTAAGAAGAGTATATCCGTGTGAGACACTCACAACATGCAGATGCACCGGTAAATGCACATCTCTGTCCGTATCTGTTTGGTTCTGAGATCGACAGCAATTGGCTTCCACATCTGCATTTGTTTATGGCCAGTATTATATCATGTTAAATGCAAGCACTTCCTCAACTAAAATGACATCACACACTGGTTTATACTTAGTGCCGTGCACTTCCAGAAGAAAAGTAACACCACGTGTAGAGAATTACAACATCTGCATGTGTTGCTCATCTCATCTATCTTCCTTAAACTGTCACATGTGGACAGGCTGAGGCTTTTGACCTAAATGATCTTTTCGTTCTTCTAACCATCTGCTACCTTTTTCTTCCGTTCGTCTAAATCCTTTAATGAGGTGATTTCATCTCCTAGTCTGTTAACCAAATTCAGATTTAAAATGTTTGGCCAGTGTCCCTAGCAAACCCTAATATTTATATTTAATCTTATATATTCCTGTAGCGCTTTGTCTCTTATTCTGTTTTCTTGTTATTGGGGCCACATTTAAACTGTGACCTGGCAGATGTTATTTAGCTCCATGCCAACTCTGATTAACTGCATGAAATAGCGGCCAACCCGACTGTATCAAGGCACAGCGTGGTACTGACCGGTCCATCACAAGGTAGCCAGGTGCTTTATGTCTATTACATTCTTAATGGGACCATAATAAACTCATTAAGCATCATGCCATGAAGCTCTATGACATTTTCTCATCGGCTTCAATACAATCAGACTTCTTTTTGCAACCAGAGGAGTTGACCCCTGGTGGAGAATAGAGAATATTACAAGTATATGGCACTTCCACAATGGCTTCACTTTTCATACCTGAAGATTGCCCTTTGCTACCCTCACAATTCATGTTTGGAATAACCGAATGCTACTGTGTTACAGCTATTGGCCTGCTGAGGGAGCGGGAGCCTGGAGCCTTTGTGATCCGGGACAGTCACTCGTTTAGGGGAGCGTACGGCTTGGCTATGAAGGTGGCCTCGCCTCCACCCACAGCACATCAGAGCAAGAAAGGTGGGGACAGGGATACATGTATTTACTGCACTGAATTGTGTAGCTCTTGTCTGTCTCCATGTTTATCGGCCCTGAACCCCATCCGTCTCTCCCGCTGCAGGCGACGTCACCAACGAGCTGGTGAGGCACTTCCTGATAGAGAGCAGCCCTAAAGGAGTGAAGCTGAAGGGTTGTCCCAACGAGCCTTACTTTGGTACGGCCGGAAACACACACACTGACAGCTCGGGGAAGCCGGAGTAGAAGTCACATGCTCCTTTCCGCGCGTCTGTCAAAGATCTGCACTCGTTTCCAAGTTGTATAACATATAATTGTAATCACTGCAGTGATCTGAGTCATGTTCTCCTCACTAATTATGCTGTAAGACTCTTTGACGTGCCCGTGTTGCTCTTCTCCGCCAAATACAAAAAGCGCTGAGCTGACTTCTGTAAACTTTAGTAAAGCCTCTCCTCGTTCCTTCTTCCTGTCCTGTCTCCAGACCATAACTCGGTTCCTCACTATTTTTACTGTGTGAAATTACTGTTTTCAAACTACTAATTCAACAGAATTCCTTCTGATTACAAATATTTGGTTTTTCTCACCGATGTAAATCCTAACCACATATAACAAAATCCATCCTACCGAAGAACAGTTAATCATGGGAAGAGCTGTTCCTGTTAACAGGAGCAGAACCACTCAGTTTTTGTCTTTCACACATTGGAATTATTGAAGGGGATGTGTTTTGTGTCTCTAATGTGTCTTCTGTCCATTTGACAGGCTGTCTGTCTGCCCTGGTCTACCAACATGCCATCACACCACTGGCCCTGCCCTGCAAACTACTTATCCCCACCACAGGTCTGTGGATCCAAACGTGTGTTCGGCAAACATGAATGCGCTTTGAAGTGATTCTATTGTGTTAACATTAACAGGCTTTCTACAGTAAACGGATCTATTTTTAAGGATTGCTCCCTGAAACTGACGACCTTAAATGGGTTTATTGCACATTGGATTGGAATTTATACCTAGCACTGGAATAGGCGTTTACTGAAGGGTAGTGAAGGAACTGGTGATGAACCTATAACAGAAGCCATCGACGCTCCTATACACAAACAAAGAATGGGGTAACTTCATCCTTCTCACTTTTTATATAGATCTCACCGAGGAAGTGACGGAGGTAGCCGCACCAAATCCACTGGCGGAAAGGCTGAAACAAGGAGCAGGTAATACATAAAATCTCTCCCATTTATTCTCTTTCGGGATTCCTGCGTTCCTGTGGCCGTCTCAGAGGCTCAAAAAACAACAACAGCTTTAAGATTGTAGGACATTAATAACCGTGTAATTAACATCTCCTGAAACATGTTCACTTGTTCTGACAACAAGATACCCTTGTAACCCCAGTGCAGAGGGCCCCTGCTGATTCCCATGGTAAACAAACAGCACTTTTATTTGGAAACTTCCATCTGGAATGTGCATCCTTCGTCTGTCTGTGAATGTTTAACCTGCACAAATTAAGATGAATAAAGATGGCCCTGTTTAATCCCTTGACATGAACTTAGATTTGGTCTGTTAACATTAGTGTCCAGCTTCTTGTTTGTAACAGGCAACATGTTTTATGTGGAATGAGATTGGATGGATTGGTTTCTAAAGCGGTTTGACCCCAGCTTTGTTGCGGACAGCATGTTCTCCAATGAGACAATATCAATATATTTGCATGAATAAACCAAAACAGGCATTAATAGCATTTCAGAACAAATACGACTATTTAGTTTTTCCCTTGCAGAATCACTGTCCCATTTGACATTTCTTCTCATTGTCTGATTGGGCCGTCTGCTCTCTTCCCAGCATGCAACGTGCTCTACATCAACTCCGTAGACATGGAGTCCCTGACAGGTCCTCAGGCGGTTGCCAAGGCCATATCTGAGACACTGGCTGCTGCGTCTCCAGCCACTGCCACCATTGTGCACTTCAAGGTGTCTTCGCAAGGCATCACGCTGACAGACAACCAGAGGAAGTAAGTCTGCACGTCCCCTGTACGCGGTTAATATTAAACTGGCCAGCGTGCCCTTTTTAATGCATGATGATGTGTGCTTCCTCCAGATTAAAAACATTTTAACTGACTGTGTTCCACTTTATTCATTGTGTTTTTGTGTTTCTTTTAATCACTACTTTTCACCATTGTTTTTCTCGTTTTATAGGCTTTTCTTCCGACGCCACTATCCTACCAACACAGTCACGTTCTGCGATACTGACCCACAAGACAGAAAGTGAGTGCAAAGACATGAAATAGATTTCTTAAAATGCTAATAGTACTTTGTTTTTGGCAACAGATGAGTTCCAAAATATTGTAAAAATAAAAGGACGGCTCTTGTCTGTCCACTATTTATATTACTATATTACTACTTCTAGAATTATTGTTTGTGTGAGTCCTGGGTTATGCTCCTTTGATGCAGTCGACTTTTCAGAAAACTTAAAAATAAATAAAAAACAATTAATCAGATAGCTGACGCATACTTTATTTAAATTTTGACAGGTGGAACAAACCTGAGGGAGGAACGGCCAAGTAAGTAGACCTCTTACTGATTACAGTACTGCTGTGTGTTTCCATAGAGCGAGCGGGACGGTGGGGTTAAGTGAGGCATGGCATTCAGTGGTGGATATTCATTAAGTCGAAGGACATTTTACCCAACTAAAAGAATGGTTTTGGACAGCTGAAGTAGAAGAAAAGCAGCACTGCTGATAATTGCCTGCAGTCTGAATGGAAGCTGTATCCCATTTATCAACCCCAGGCTGATGGCTGCATCCAAAATATCAATGTCTGACAAAACTAGGGGCTAAACAATTTACTCAGACGCACAATATGAGTTACGTAGCGAGTTGTATTGTTTTTGTACCTGAATGATACCTTCAGGGTGTTTAACTAACACATGTTTAGTGTAAACCAATTTCAAGTTAAAGTTAAACTTTAGTATAATTCAACCTTTGTGGCTAAGTGACTAATGGGGACCAACGGTTTTAAACATGTCCAGTATCGAGGTACAAACACTTGACACACCCAATGACAGGCTCATATTATTATTATGACTATTATCAGAATCTTTAATGACAGGCCCATATTATTATTGCAACTGTTATCAGTATCTTTAATATAAGTGTTAACATCATGGAAAGAGTTCTACAGGTAAAATACCGTGTTCATTGTCTGCCTCAATACTCAACCTACAGTATTTCATAAGCTGTCCCTATTACTTGATATAAGCATGAAAATGACCAAACTGCCGTTGAAGCTGCCACACATGGTTTCAGTCTTTTTTTTGTAGACACAATCCAGTGCTTAAACAAGGTGGCTTTTACAAATAACTCTCTGATGTGGACTTTGCAGGCTATTTGGGTTTGTGGCACGTAAGCAGGGTAGCACAACGGACAACGTCAGCCACCTGTTCGCCGAGATGGACCCCGACCAGCCCGCCAGCGCCATCGTCAACTTTGTTTTAAAGATGATCGCCTCGCATAAAAGATGAAAGCTGTCATTTCCCTTTCCCATTTAACGACGGACACTTACTTTCTGTTTTGGATGACTTAGCATTTGGTTTGTCACCTTATTTCTTCCGCTCTTTTACGTTTGCGTGCATGTCCCAGCGTGTTTGTGTATGAGAGGCAGAGAGTGTGCGGTGTGTTTGGGTGTGCGCAGCTTGCATGCATGTGCTTTTCTTCTCGGACGGACTCCAGAATGGACCAGAGGAAGTGAAGGATGGGGCGTGGCTGTGTGTGACAATGGGAGGGGAGGCAGGGTAACTCATGGACAGGAAGAGGGAATGACATTGTGTGTGCAAATGTTATTTTATAACAATTGTTTCATTTTTGTTCATTTTTTTTTACAAAGAAGAAAGAAAAAAAAAGTTGTGTGACGTAAAGGTGGATTGTAAATCTATTCGGCTTTTGAGTGGTCAACCAAAGATTTTTAAAAAGTAGTCAGGACGTGTATAGTGTGCCACTGTCGGAGGGTCGGGACTCAAAATTATGGCTGCTTAATCAAAAATACTGTTTCTTCCTGTATGTACTGATACTGTAGGTCAATTATGCGCCGTTGCCATCTTGCAAACGATGTTTTTGGACATCTTTGCATCCGTCGTGGTCTGTGTAAATATTCTTGATTGCTTTACGAGTAGGATTGTTCTAGATGACATTTGGTGCCTGACGTTCTTTTGTAATGCAGAGCTTTGTAAGAAAGAGAAAAACATAAAACTCTCCCAAGCTGCTTTAAATATGCAAATAGTCGAACTCGGAAATGAGATGGCTCTCCAAAATTCCACAGTTCTATCTTTATCAATGTAGTAATGTCGCTGAAGATGCTACCGATGTTGCGGCTTTGAAGTCCATACCAATTTTGGCAATATTTTACTACTTTCATGTGCATCCAGGGGAACACCCAGAGTCTCTGAGTCTCTGGGTCCTTTCGTTCAGGGAGGTCAGGAAGAGGAGTAGCCTCCCATCGGCCGTCGCTCTCCTTGCAGCCTGCGCCATGTTGCTCAGTAATGAAGGGCTGGACGTTGCGTCCTTCATGCAAAAGTTTCGTCTGCTGAGGCCCTGATGAGAGCTATCACAACAGAGTGCTAACATTACCCTAAGTTTTAGTACCGCTTTTTCTGCTCGACGCGAGGCGCTGAGAAGCCGCCCAGCATCTGATCAGGGCCCCAGACTGTTCGTCCTTTTGCTGCGGTCAAAGGTTTCTGTGTTCAAATCTCTTTGTGTCGGATGAATCAAAGCTGTTAACACTCACACACTACCCAAAAGTAAGCTATACGTATAAATACACATATACAGATATATATATATATATATATATATAAAAAAAAAACTTCAAAACAGTGACTTAAGATATTTATTTTTTTTGCTTTGTTGCTCTGTAATCTTGTATACATGTATTATAGAGTATACATCAAGATTACTGAAAGTGAGAAGAAAAGATAGCTTTTTTATTTTGGCTAAAGTCAAGTGCATTGACATATATCTAAGGTGTAAAGTGTGTGCATTTCAAACTGTAAAATGTTCAAATGTTGTTTTTTTTCACAGCATTACTTCCTTTTGTTAACATTCTTGTTTTCTATGGGAGTCTTTGTTTGTATTTTTAAGAGAGGGGGAAAATATTTAGAATGAAAGATTGCTGTTAAGTCCAAATTGGAGCTATCCTAAAGACATGCCAACACAATTGTTTCATTAACTTAAACCTGCCGAGAAAATACATTGTCCAAGTTTAGCACTTAAATGTTGAAGTATTATCAGTGTGTTTCTACTTGTAAAAAGTGACGCCTTGGAAATTGATGGACCCATTACGTGATTGCATGTGTGGAGCGGGACTTACTAGTTCCTGTGGTTCCACAGCATCTCAGCATGAGGTCTGGGGAAACGAGTCGGATCAGTGAGTAGCTGCTGCCCTCATGTGTTGAGGAAACACCATTACAAAAGGAACCACTTTTATTCTAACAGTGTTTTAGCTGTGCTTTTGGTATGACAAAGGGTAAACGTTTAACGAATCAGATCACTGGTAAAATTAACTTTAATCTGAATGTTGTTTAATACGCTATTATTTTAGCAAGTGATGTTTGCGTTCCAAAGTGGGTCACATCATGAAAAAAAAAGTGATTAAAAAGCCATTCAGCCTTCCTATGTCACATGCAGGCCCGTCAGAATAACCTGTAAATGAGCATGAAATGTGACCTTAAAAGTGACTTTCAAGAAGTTGAGCAGGTAGAGATTACGAGTCCCTCCTTTATGCCGGATGCTCTAGTGTCACTTGTTCAGGGGCCCACGTCCTGACTCAAATTTACTTAAAAAAAAACAGCACTTATAAGGCTTTTATATGTGACCAGAATGTTCCATTATTTATTAGCAAGAGCCTGCATGCTCAAGTCAAGTTGTTACCTCAACACTGCTGACTGTAATCTGCACACAATACCCTCAAGTTTGACTCGACCCAGCCCGTTCCAGTTAAGTTTTGGATTTTCGTGTGACGTCTACGTCTTGACAGAAGAATCTATATATTTTTGCCTATAAAATACTTGTGGAAGAAAAAGAGAACGTCCTTTAGTTCAAACTGAATGTTAGCCATTTTTTTGCCAAAATGGAAACTCCTGTGGCGTGTCACTTGGTGAGATCAGTCTGAACTGTAGAATGTGTGTGAATGAACGACTATGCCCGTATAGAGCTTTGTCATTTTTTGGTATGCTACATTATATGGCTTTTACTCTTTCTGATGGAAAAACACATTAAAAAGCATTACAAATCAAAATGTAGGCTACGGTATTTTGTTTGTCTTGGTCAAATTGTCCTTTTTTGTTGTGCCAATTCAATGATAATTAAGACCCGTAGCTTAGTTTGTTTTGTTTATAGTAGTAGTAGTAGTTAGTATTATTATATACTGTATACTACAGTCATTACAAACAATACAAGACCAGCGTAAAGCATGAATACATTAGGACTGTAAAGGTATAGGCGGAAGCATAATGCTTGTGTATTCCTATTCCAAATTCATACTAATTAGGTTACCCTCAAGAAAATCTGATGTAAAAAAAAGAAAAAGAATATATATATATAAATAAATGACAAACTGATGATTTAGTAACATTACAAACATGCTTAATGCAAAGTAAAAAACGTATTAAAAACTAATAACAGATGCGATACTCCACATTTGACCAGAAGTCCTGACACCATATCATTAACTTGCACACATTGCTGTCAGCCAAGAAGCTTTTCAGCCAAGAGGTCCCAATCCAATTTTCTCAATAATGTGCTGTGATCCAACCTATCAAATAAATCTATTTTCTTGTCAGGCACAATTTTGTTGGCGAGAGTGGTTCCGACACGCAGAAAATAATCATCAATAATCGTCCATAGTTGCATCAGAGCTGTTTCCAAAATAACATGGAAATAAAGATTGGTAGCCTTTATTTTGAATAATATGATTAATTACTTTCCAAGTCCTTTGAATATTATTTGTATTATCTTATTAATGAATACATCATTCACAACCATTTTAATATATGTATAATATTTAGAATATTTCTATGAACATGGTCTATTTGTCCAGGCTCCATCCATCTGCAAACCACTTATCCTGCACGCAGGTCGCAGGGGGGCTGGAGTCTATCCCAGCCAACTTCGGGCGAGAGACTGGACTGGACTGGTCGCCAGCAAATGGCAAGGCTAACACAGAGACATCCACACACCTACGGGCAATTTAGAGTCACCAATCAACCTGATCCCCAGAGCATGATCCCCAGAGCAGTTTGGACTGTGGGAGGAAGCCGGAATACCCGGAGAGAACCCACGCAGACACGGGGAGAACATGCAAACTCCACACAGAAAGGCCACTGGGCGGAGTGGAACACAGGACCTTCTTGCTGTGAGGCGACAGTGCTAACCACCACGCCACCGTGCCGCCCTGTCCTCAGGCTATATAATTTAAATAGACAAATCAAACAGCACAGAGACAGGGCAAATTATGAGATCAAATGAAGGCAGAAGTTGTTATAGTGGACAACATCTTTATGACCTTTGCCACAATGTTTCGATTAACTGCTGTCGGAAGTAAATCAAATTTGGAAAACAAAGTTAATGCCATGTATGTTATACAACAAGGAATTGGGCTTGGTGCGTGACAATAAACTTGTCAACTAGTAAAAAACAACATTTGAAAATGTACAATTAAATATGATGGATGTAGAAAAAATTAATAAAAAAACTAATGGTGTGTCAACAGTATTTTTAAAGCAATGAGGGTTTCTAGGGTGTGTAACTGTCAGTAATTGATCTGGCGATCTAAGAATCTTCATCTGCTGGAGGCCAGAGCCGTGTTGTGAGATATTGGTCCGAGTGGGCTGCAGCCTTCTGCCAGAGGGAAGGGTCTTAAAAAAATATTGTGTCCAGCGTGAGAAGGGTCGGCCACAATCTGTCTTCTCTGCCTCATGGTCGCAGAGGCGAAAAAGCAGATGATACTCTGCAGTCTCGCCCTTGTCCTTGGCAGTGGCTGCAGCGTACCAGACAGGGAGTGCCAAGTCTCTGCTGAGCCTTCTCGATGATGGAGCTGATATGCTGTTCCCACATCGGGTCATCGGTTATGGTGCTGCCCAGTAAGCAGAAGGCCACCATAGAGATATGAGGTAACACATTAGATCCAAAACAGCATGTGTCACACCTTAAACTTTAAGGTCACATATTGGTTTGAAGATTGGTTGTTATTGTAAAATGTATAACGGAAAGTGGTATTTTGTGGTGGTCTTCGTGCTCACTGTCTGCCATAAGGTGTTTGGCCACTTGATGCCAGTGTTTCCTTATCAGACAAAACAAAGCCACAGAGGAACACACCAACACTGAACTCAAGGCAGTCAGTCTCATCTATGTTACAGATCTTTGGTGGGAGGGGTATTCAGGTCTCAGATGCTGCATCTATTACTGGTGTTACTGTTGTATTGGTCAGATGAGACTCAGTAGTATATTTTGTGCAATGAATTTGAAACAGATTAAGTATTCTGCAAATGGTCACACAATGCCACTTCTCTCCTTCTTCAACGTTCATGTACTTTTAAATCCAGCTTTATTTCATGGGAAAAACTAACATCAACCCTGGTCCTATATGATGCTTTGTGTCAGCAGGATTACAATATTTCACCTCCTTTACCCCATGGAATAGAATTACGACTCTTGAAAAAACATTTTCTCTACAGGGGTCAAGATGATGAAATGGGCCAAATAAAGAGGTCTATTTATGGTCAGAAAGGGTGGATGACGGGGGATGGGATTATCATTTGAATCTGGGTTTGTCTTTAACACTTATGAGGGCCAGGATTTATGCTTAGCTTAGTTGTTTTTTTTACCTATAGGCCGGAGGTCTTCAACAGGGTGCTGCAGGGGGGTTGCAACATGTTTCGTTGATAACACAATTTTTTTTATTGTCTTTAAATACACATCATGCTCACGTGTAAAGAGTGGCAAAGCTCAAAAATATAAGATGGTGGACCAAACGCCGGTCCTTTGTTTGGCGTTCCTTGGCCTGAAAAAAGACCCTTGCTATCGGCTAACTTTACCTATTGACTGACACTATAAGTTACTGGCCCATAGGCTTGAGCTACTGGACGAATACATTGGCAATAGCCTGAGTTCTTGATTTTGATGGAAATTTTATAGCACCTTAGTGAGATGAAGTGGGGGTAAACAATGTGAAAACTACTTAGCAAATGCACATTTCATAAAATTAGTATTTTAAATGTGCAGGTATATATTTTTGGTGGTGAAAATCTGGAAAATAAATATTTGACTGGTCAGCCAATTGCGGTAATCCCACCAGAGCAACAGGTGTCTTGTTTCCTGCTAAAGCCTATTGCCCACTGTCACACATAGAACCTGGTCACCATTTGGAGTGTGAAGCCTCCTGCCTCCAATTGAATGTACAGAGAAGTCACTTTGCCAGATGGAGTATAATCCCTCATAGCCGAATTAAAATGTATATACTGTACAGTATTCGTCCTACTCAAACATAATACGGTATAAAATAAATTATGCCAATGGTCTAAAGGCATATTACAGTTTGACAATAAATGCTATGCATCCCTGTATCTTGACCAATCATATCAAAGCCACCAATTATTTCTTTCACAATAAAAAAGGATGACTTGTTCAAAACACACAAGAGATAAATAGTTGTGTGTGCAGCATGTTTAAAGTTTGTGAATGTTTGTGCCCAGTAAAACATAATGGTGTACGAAAGGAGCTAAACACTAAATGTGCGTTACAGTCTCCTGTCTGTGTTGACGTTGACGTACAAATTGTATGTGTGTTTTCTGGAGGCATGAGTGACTGTCCATCCTGTGACCGGTACGTGTGACTCACTCTTAATCCAAATGTTTCCATCGTGGCGCCTCAAAGGCAAAACCATCACAGTGCTGTCACCATCTGGATAGTAAAGGCCCTCCTGGGCTGGCTGCCTCGTGTCCCTGACTCAAAGACTTTGACTAAAAATACAACCTTCAGGATGTTATTGCAAAAGCACCAATAGATGTCCGGCCTGGATTTTTCTCCTTCTGGTGCTTTCTGCCTTGGTCTCGTTTCCATAAATAACAAAGGTGAAATTGCTCACACACACACCACACGGTAATAAAAATGTCACGCTGTCTAAAAGGCATGCAATGGCTTCGATGAAAGACTTTCTGGAGAATGAATTCAGGGGGTTTATTATAGACAGATCAATATTTTATATAAACCAAATATGGGTTATTAGAGAGCTATCGTGAACTCAGTGGTCGTAGTCAGAGCATCTTTTGAGGTCTTAGTTGTGATTTTTATGGCACGTTTTCCCTCTTCCTCCTTGTTTCCAGCACAACAGGGTCTTACACTGTCTGCTTTTATCCAAAGTGAAGACAGAGTAATCAACTAGGAAGGGAAAGTAGCTGCACACCTAACAGTAGAAAGGGATTTCCCCTCAAGAAAAACACAGCAAATAAGGAATATCACATTTGAAAAGTCTTTGGGGCATTTTCTTCACTTTTGACAGTATTGAGCAAGTTTCTTGAAAAAAGTACATACAGTATTATCTGAAAAAATAATACATGGGTGGGAATGGTTGTGATGATTTATGCCCCTCCCCTCTCTGGTCACTCGGTACAGCACGTGCCGATAAAAATAGTTCACAAGCAAAGGGGCAAAGGTCAGCCTTCATAGTAACTTCACAGTGGGTTTGAAGAGCCGGACTGCCCCTCTCTTATAACGGACATGATTGGGCTGGGGGAAGAAATCTGATGTTTCCAATAAGCGAGGAGAGTATGTTGCATTATCGTTTTTGCATTTGGTGGCGTGTGACGAGAAATGCGCAAATCAAAAGAAACCTGTTACATTACTTGACCTTAGAAATTTTACATTTTTACGGTAGTTACATTACAAAGAATGTTATTTTGTTAGGGTACGATGTTAATTCATTACTTTAACACAAACCATGCTCTTATTCGCTTACCTTAACCGAATAGTCTTGTTGCATGAAACAGATCGTTGTACTCTGTCAAACACACGGCAGTATGTGTTTCTGAGAATGTGATACAAGGCTGTTATGAAATAGATTTATGATTAGCGATTGCAAAGGGTTGTAGGAAAAGATAATTTCATTCAACTCCGAAAATGGATTGATTGTTTGTTTGTATGTAAAGTGGAGTGGGCAGTACTCATCTTCCTGGTGAGTTATATGGACGCACTGATGGCTCCAGTGAAGAAAGACAGCAGGCAGAGATGGAAGCAACGCTG